TTATAACCGTAGCAACAGACCTCAGATGAGCCCAGACGCTATGCGGCTCTTGTTAAAATTATAACAAAATATTGGAACTGAGCTAAATATAAACTTTTCTATTGTGGATCAATGACACTGCTTTGCTGACTAATGAACAAGTGGGACACAACACAACTATTCTAAATGTCGCACAGGAATAACCAGTATGTGTTGAATCCACAATTACTTGCTCTGGTTTTCAATTTATGTATGTCATTCGTTATATGTTACCAGACTTATGAAGTCAGTATAAAACACAATAGTTACTATTACTTGCTTTGTGTTCATATAGCTACTCATTAAATATGCAATGTAGCATATGGTTAGGAATATATGCCAGTTGTTGGGTTGCTAAGTGAGTTAAAATTCAATTCAATTCAATTTTTGTTTCAGGGAAAACCACCCATACGATGTCTGTGAAGTCATATCTACACCAGTAAGCACGATTTTATACGAAAACGAGGATTACCTGTATTAGAAGCTGGTAAACCTGTATCAGATACTGATCATGCAGTTGATAATTCTGCTGATGAAGCTATTGTGTGTGTATGTGCATGCATGCGTGCGTGCATCTGTGTGTGTGCCTGTGCCTGCGTGCATGTGTGCATATATGTTTTAACTCTATATATTAAAATGTTTGACAATTCTTTATGCTACAGATTACAACTGGAAACCATGCTTATCTTGATTGGATTAGTGAAATTGTGCCGGAGAAGTAAGAAAGAAGACGACAGTAGAGAACATAGCTATTGAAACTGAAACAGCCACCATCGCACGGAGACCAGTTTTTAATAGGGATTGAAATTTATCACAGATTATAACTATACCCTTTTTTTCTCAGAATAGATTCCTCGATTATCCATAAACGATATCATGAACATATTGTGCTGTACAGCCAAATGCCAGTAGAATAAAATGGAGTATATTTTGCAGAAGTTGACCCCTTAAATAATATCAGCTTTTATATTAAAACACGTGTTCTTTTCATGTATTATTGCAATTGTTTTATTATCTAAGATTTCCTGACTCGTACACCTTGTTCGTTACTCTGTTTATAGACCAGAAAGTTTAGAAAAATGCCACCATTTAATTTACTTTCTAATTCTATTGAACAATTAAGTTCTAAAGAAATAAACATGGATGCTTATTGCTCCAGGACACATCATTACAATTGCTAGTGTATGTTACCATGCCACAATTATTAGTATTTACAAAAACTAAAATACTTCTGTGAAATATCTGTTAATATATACATATACCTAAAAGTATTTTTCTGATGATCAATTATAAAATTGTAAAAAATATTATATTATTTACTTATGTCCTTAGTATCATAATTAATAAAGTGCCATCACATCTCGTGTAATTGACAAAGTACGTTTCTGAGTTTAAACATGGCCATTATATTGTGGTGCTTGTAGATATTGTATTTGTTTAATTTGAGACAGAAGATGATAAACTACAAGGCAGGCTACGAAAACCATCCTTGGTTCTGTTTCACTAATTTCGAAATCACTTTTTATGAATGCCATTAAATTTACCATTACATAGTATTAATAAAATGAACATTTTCGCTTAGCATTTCAATGAACATCTACCAAATAAGGTCCAGTTATATCTAGTAAACTGGTTTAACAAACTGAGTGATTAAGGCTTCAACAGGAGCTTTCCCAAATGTCCCGAGGACAACATCACCTCATGATGAGCTTCTTCTGTCTCCTCAAGGGGATAAATGTGTTTAATAACTGGGTTAACCCACCCTTCCTCAATACCAGCTACCAGTGCCTTCCCGATAGATGCCCACTCCTCCTGTAAAGAAGAGAAAATCAGGTTGTTAGGGCATCACTTATACATGAGGAAAATGGAGGAATCAAAATTTTCTGGGGGAGGACCCGCATACCCCCGCCTGTTTCTTACCACCCACCTCGAAAACCTGCATTGGCCACTGTCGAGCGTAACAAATTAAGCACCCCCACTTCAAAAATCGTTCCGCGGCGCCTGTAGAGTACTGCTAACAAAGATTATGATTATGAATATTTGTATGCATATCAAAAGTCAAATTTGAGTTCATCTGACAGCGGAGTAGATAGCGGGGGGATGGGGGTATATCCCTCCACACTTATTGAGGTGGGGTGGCTTTCATCCCCCCTACTTTCAGGAAGAAAATGGGGAAAAATTTAATATTTTACAGACAATAAATACTGGATATTTATCTACAAATCCGTCATCGCTATTCATACTCTCCTAATGTATTATTACAGAAATGTAATGTGACATACATCTACTGTAAAATGGCTGTAACTCGTTCCAAGAATGACATTATTTTACTGAAACTGACGGTTAATTTTGGACGCATTCCCCATATACGATTTTTTTTTCAAAATCCCTAAAGTCTTATCACTGCTCACGAAAGTTAAATCCTTGCTTTATTAGCTCATCTGACATAGTCAGATGCAGCTTGTAGAATCGCATGATTGTCCGTGCGTGCGTGCGTGCGTCCGTCAAGCAGTTTTGGCTAACAAGTCTAAACGGCTGCGACGTACGGATTCGAATAGTCAGGACGTAGGGGGGTATCGAAACTGAGTTGGGATGTCGAAGCTGGGGGGTCGAAGGTCAAAGGTCAAGAGGTGTACAAGAAAGGGGGAAGGCATTCCGCTCCTTAACTTAAGGTATAGGGAGGAAATGGCAGAATTGGCGGGCACAAATCTAAACGGCTCGACGCTATGCTCTTAATATTCGGTGTATTAGTGTGATGGGCAGGAAACGCGCATGCACCAGTGCGAAATTGGAGTCACAGGTCAAAGGGGTCAGTGGGGAAAAGTCACATATGCTAGACATTTTCTGAGGAATGGGCCTAACGTCAGAGTGAAAAAGCTTTTTTGATTCAAGGCGCTCACCTACCATTTTATCACTTTATTGAAAGACCATGAAATGTGCTTTGCGCGCTGACTGTGCGATAGAGTAAGTGTCTGATAAGCGGCTTTGACGCCTCAAAGAGGAGAGGTGCAACACGCGATTTGTTAACTGTTAACAAAGGACTGAACTGCTTTTGGCTAGTAGAACCCCTCCACCCCACTCACGCCTCCCAACCACCCACCACTACGCTCACGCTCAACCGCAATATCCATGATAACATGTTAATATAGTGAAGTGATTAAAGTTAGCACAGCTGTATCTTTATTACTGTTACCTACCGTATAGCTAAAGCCTATCGATAGATTTTAAAGCATCTGTATTAGTAGTATCCTAGATATATGAGGGGGTCCATGCCCCCCCGCTTTGCATGCCGAATACTCTCTAATTTTCAGTGGCATGCTGGAATCTCCATAATTTGGGCTTGGCATCTGGAAATACTATTTTAACCCTGCAGCCAGCAGCCGCGAATAATACATAAGCAAAAGTAACGCAATAGTCCAATACACAACATTTATAACCTTTATTCATGCAGCACTATTTATTAGGTAAGCAATAAATACATCTTTAATGTCATGGCTATGTTAGAGGCAAATAATTGAAGAAAAGGTACAAGACGTTTTATCCCAGAAAGTTGGCAATCTGCTGTTGAATTTTGATTTGCCTTGCCTGTCCTGCTTCTGGGTTGTGTGATCTACTACTGGTAGTACCAAGGGGCGGACGGCCAAGTTAATTTCAAAAAGAGGGGGCCACCAAATGAGCAAGTATATAGTGAAATGTGGGGGATGATACGGCGAGAGAGCGAGGCGACAAGTCCGAGCGAGCGGAAGGCCGGAGTGAGGGTGGGCAGGGCGTGTAGCAGGATTTTGGACAAGGGGGAAGGGTCTACCGGTACCACATACTACGAGCAGCGCGCAAAGGGGGGTCTGGGGTAAAAAATTTTAAACTTAGACGGGCCCTCAGATGGCGTTTTCTGCGGCGAGCAGGGGGGTCCGGACGCGCCTGGACGCCTGTAAGCAGAGCCGCCGGCCCGCCTAGGGGGAGCTTTTGGCACTTTTTATGCTTAAAATGGTGGCAATCTGGTGCCATACTGTAGTGGTATTTTTTAACATCATATTGGCAGCAATCATTTAATAGTGATAAATTTGATGCAGTGGCGTGAACCAGCCTTTCGTATGGGGGCAGGGGGGGGGGGGAGGCGCCAAAGAACCCCGTTCCCCCCCCAAAAATGTACCGCGAGTAAATCTACATTAGCCCTGAATGTTTAAACCTATATATTTCTGACATGATCATGGGTATTACAGAACGTACACTTCCAATATCAAATAACTATTGGGGCAGTCCGTTAGATAAAAATATGGCAATTTAAAAAAAAAAAATGCTTGTGATAACTCGAATATATTTGCCAGACTTGAAAAGAATGTTTGTATAGTATGAGGTATGTCATTACAGAAGCAAAATAAAATTAGAGCTTTCTTCCTAATGAAACTCATCGGTTACATACATGTATGACATATAACAGTTGCAGGCAGAATATATGCTGCTAACAATGTAAAAATCAAATTTCTTGTATGACTCTGAGATGTTTTCATTGGCAGGAAATTCAGAGAATGACTGACATAATTTGAATAGTTATGATAAACATGAAAAACATGGGTCAGAATGTCACATATTCTGACTGGAACTCATCTTGTAAGCCTATTTACAACCATTGAAATTGAGAAAAATTAATTTTGTAATTTTTGTAGATTTTGTAATTATTTTTTAATAAATGTAATTTGTTATTTTTTTTTTGGTTTTAAAAAAGGGGGGGCACGGGCCGATGTGCCGCCCATCTAATCCGCCCTGGGTAGTATATATATTTGCGGCTCTTCAACACTTCATCAGCAGCAAAAAGCGCAGGTAAATGGCCGCCTAAATCAGTCGCCAGAATGCAACAAACAACACGACAAGGGGCATAAGTTCCGGTTGTATACATTCATTAAGGATTAGACTGGTAGGCACCGACTGGATTCGACTGATTCCCGTCTGTTCGCAGATCCTACGTGCGGGGAAGTCTGCCGTTTCCAGTTTAGGCAGGGTAAATAGATCCAACAATTTATTAAAAAATGGGCAGGAAAAGTTCAGGAAAAAAACAGCAATCTCGGCGATTATACGTAATGGCAATTATTTGCGCGTACGGAATACCGTTATACTGTCAGTGCGGCCGCGTACGGCGTCCGCGCACCTGCGCGTACGGAATACTGGCTCTCAAATAGGCCGGAATGCCGGCTTAGCGAAAAGGGCATTGAACCCCGTCATATATGGCTCTGGGCGCGAACGCGGTGGCGAGGGCGGGCACTTGATTTCGTTTGCCAGGCAGTTTTATGCAGAAGAATAGCCGCGGCTACAGTACACGTCAGTTGAGGCGTTGTCGCTGCTGGCGGCATTACTTGTTTCAGAATTAGAATAGACGGCTATGAGAGTTGGGATATTGAAGTTTTCACGGGATTGAATGGGAAAATTCAATATTCAATGCTCACTTTTTTTTGGGGGATGGGGGTGCTGAGACCCGACCGGAAGTATATTCCCGATTTTGTATAAGGGGTGAAAATATGCACTTTTTGGTTCAGATCTGGTTGTTTTTCTCATATTTTTTTGCAGTTTTAACGTTCTCAGTAAAATATACGTTTTATCAACATTTCAGGGGGAGGTGATTTCAGTGCTGTACGACGTAGTTGTCAACGGGGGTTTGGTAGCACGGGGCGGTCGCCCCCCCCCCTAGAATTTTCAGGGCAAAGGTATTTTAGCCTAGGTATGTCTGCACTGGTAACCCCAGTGAGGACATGTACATAGCACAGATTTGGTAGTAAGTATTTTAGTCTTTGGTGTCCCCAAAGGTAAAAATACTCAACTCGACAGTGATGTTATTGTGATGAAGATTGTTTAATAGATTATTACAAAAGATACCTGAAAAGACTCACAATAAGAATCTTTATTATTGGTGTTACCGTGTATATTTAAACCTTGGACTGTCCTTAACAACATACATTCGTCTTTATAATTTATTGTAACATAATAAGTTTTTAAACAGTCAAACAGCAAAACAACGAAATGATAGGGTTTCCTTGTTTTTTACCTGCCACACATTATGTCCATAACAATTTAGCATGTGACGCTCCACAAGGAGATCTAGATACAATTGCACACTGGCTAGTAACCTTGTGAAAATATAATTTTTGACCCACAAAATGGGTAAAACACTAGTCCACCACAATGCAGCATTGGTAAATGTATGTTAAGAAAGGTCACGGTTGAGATGGGAACCAAAAATGTAGATTTTGATTGTAGAAGACTGATTTAGAAGTACATTTTTAGTATTAAAATATTTTTGTCAAAATTCAAGCCAATGCATTAACTTTCAGTGAAATTTCACTGTTAAAAAGTAAAGGTGAAACATACGAACAAGTAATCAAGGATGCATAGTACCGTACCTTGGAAGTGTTTGCGAGTGCCATGCCTGTGATAGTACTCTCCTTAGCCATTGTCAGACGAGGTGCAATGGTGACATTACCCCTGCTCCCTATCACCTACAGCAACAGCAATGAATGACGTGTTACCAAGTGAGTGAGTTAGTGAGTGGGGTGGGTTGTTGGTTGTTTGGGTGGGTGGGTTGGTGGGTGAGCAAGTGAGTTGAGTGAGTGGGTGAGCAAGTGAGTTGAGTGAGTGAGTGAGTAAGTCAGTCAGTCAGTCATGATAGAGCAAGCAACTGAGTGTCCACGTGAATAAGAAAGTGAGTAAGTGACCGAGTAGGCGGGTGAGTGAGTGCGTCGATGCGCCAATGATTGAATGATGAAGCCACTAAACACGACTTTTCACTTCGTTGTCTCTAATGTAGTCCGTATCTGTATTATCCCCCACATACGATTGTGTAGAATGGTTCTGAGCAGCCACCGTACCATAACGAGTATGAAACCTACCACAATTCTACCAGCATAAGCCATCATTTTCAGATCATGTTCCAGGTTGACATTCGCTAGCATTTCAAGGATGACATCAACACCCCTGCCATCTGTTGCATCCTGTAACACATTCATGTACAACCACATATATCCGACTATCTAACTCACAGCCTAATTTTAACACCTGTCAAGCCAGTATTTACTCTACAGTCCAATTGGAGCAGTGGGCTGTCTGTTATACCTAACTATACAGCTACTTGCTGTCACCACTGCATGCTTTATCCACACTGACACATCTTACAAAACATTGCAATCTTTATGAAAACCACAGAAGCTGTACTAACCATCATATCTTGCAAATAATCTTTCTCGCGGTGATTGAAAACATGATCGGCTCCATTCTTTTTCACAAGTTCCATACCGGGTAGCGTTCCAGCTGTAGCAAGAATCTTCATGGATTTCCCACGAGCAATTTGCAATGCAGCTAACCCAACCTGATGGAGAAATAGACAGATAGATAACATACTGACATAGTTAATAAAATTACAAATTAAATAACATACACAAAGACCTTCAAATTAGGATTTTGTATCAGGATCTGTAGTAAACTATGTGAATATGAGGAAAACAATATTGCAATGTTTAACTCTTCATCTATGTACCTTCACCTAGAATATCATTAACATTTGCATACTATACATATGATAAATATGAACATGTTTTTAAAGCATCCACCCAAACTTGAAATATTTAGCAATAGTAGATTCTACATATTGGTAAAATATACAGACTATAAAATCACCAATAACATAGAAGTGAGTGAGTGCTACATGCACGTGCAGTGCTTACCTTGCAAAAGGGTTGTAAATGGAGCGTTACATTGCAGGATGTATTATACTTACAGCTCCACTTCCACCATGCACCAACACAGTGTCTCCTGCCTTAGCATTTGCCCTAAGGTATAGAAAATATTTTAATACTAACAAGAGCCGCAGAGCGTCTGGGCTCATCTGGGGTCTGTTGCTACGGTTATGAACGTACAATTTCAGTCGTGCTCGTAGTGACACATTGTTCAGGTCGCAGATATGGGGCAAGATACGCAGTGGCGTACAGCATCATTGTATGACAGCGGCGCCTGCACTATCTCCCCCGCCCATGCGATTTTGTTAATTTTATAATATGCATGGCTTGCCTTTCACTTCGAGATTTGTTGTCATAGATTTCACAGCTATCTAATTTTATCTATCCTATAATAGATTTCAACATATTAGCATGGATGCTCCAAGTATAAATTAGAGGGGGCGGGAGTCCTTCCCGCCCCGGGCAGACGCGACGACCGAACCGCCCACCCACCGACCGCCCGCCGACACGCACCCACACCCGCAGCCACCGCACCCCCCAGCATCGCCCACGCGCACACCGGCGCACGCGCGCGCTCCCCCGCCCCAGGCCCACCGCCCACGCCCGAGGAGTCCCCCCACGAGCGCCCAGACCCCCATCTCGAGCGCGCCAGGCAAGGAAGGCCCCGTCACAACGACCCATCGCTCGCCCCCACCGCGCCTTCGACACCGACTCCCAGTTTTTCTGAATTTTGGTCTCCTGCTTCTCCTCATTCTATCTCTCTCTTTACTTTCTCTGCTACTTTGCTTTTGTTTTCCCTGTGTGATCCCCAGCCTCCGCTGCGCGCCACTGCAATTCCCCACCTCGCCTGCCCTCCCCCTGCTCGCCTACTTCACTCGCCGCTTGCACTCTCAGCTTCCACCGCCCTTTTACCTGCCCATCTCCCTATTCTTCCCCTGCCTATCGACCTCCCTCCGCGCTGCCTGCCCAGCCTCCCATCGCCTTGGCACACGGCATCTCGCACGACCTAATGTAACGCGCCGGTTTCCCGGGGCTTCGCGATACACACGTATCAGCGCTTTTTTCCTGTCCACCGTCTCAATTTACTGACTCTCTCCGTCTCTCTTTATCGTTAGACTCCTTCTGCTCTCTCTCTCTTGAATTATATAAAAAAATTTTAAAAACCGCAGCGATGATGGGCCTTTTAGCAGTGCCCTCAATCCACCCCCGCCCCGCGCCCTGCAGCCCCAACGCTCTAATATTTTCTATGTAAAGCTTATGTTCGCATAAGCTGGTAAATGGAATACGCACGGCCAATAGCTTACATGAGTAATATGTTAAATTTCAGATGAAAGTAAATATTATATATTATACTGGTGGTCGTTATTATCTAATTGGTTTAAAGTGCTTACGGCAACAAATTTCTACAGCCACCGATCAGTAGTTACATTGTGTGTTATTTGTAGGGCAAAATAAAATGTATGAAAAATACAATTAAGTGTTTCTGTTAGCTTTTTATGGCTTATATACGCTTCTTTATATGCCCGCCTAATTTGGCGTGAAAACAGAGAGACGCCAGTATCTGACAGTACTGGGGGAATAGTGTTAGACAACAGAAATTTACCAAATGCGTCATAGATTTTTGCAAATTTACCAACGTAAAAACATTTTTATGCAGGTGAGAGTTTGAGGAATATATTATAGTAAGCGTTAGTTCTTACTTTTAATGTAAAAAAATGGCAATTTTTTTTTAGCAAAATTTTACAGATAGAAAATTCCCTGACGTAGTCCTTTAACAAAGTTACATGAGATAAAATCTAAATTTTAAACTAGGTCCTAATTAGTTGCCCGAGATGGCGGCGTGCAAGTGTAATCAATAATTCCAAGATGGGTAAAATCTGGCCCTCATTCCGAAATGGCTTTACAGTAGAGTACAGGCTAAAATCCCCCCCCCAAGTGAAAGTATATTCAGGCAGGCAATAATTTGAAAGTGTGCTGTGAGTTAATCAGCTGTGAGTTTAAAGCACGTGCATTGAGCAGGTTGGCAGGCAACAATTATGATAGAAGCGGGCGCGGGAGGGGGGTGTTTTTGGCCTCATGCGAGCATTCCAGCTGATTCATCATTCAGGGCCTTCAGGCCCAGGGGGGCAGGGTGGGCTATAAGACAGACTGCTTTAGAAAATGATATGATTTAAGGAGGCGTAAACCTTGTTGCAACAAGCATTTTGGCCTTTGCAAGTTAAACTGTGCAACTGTAGGCCTCAACATTGACACAAGTATGGGCTGCTATATAATAGCAAAAGGCAGTTCAGTCGCTTGTTAACAAGTCCAACAAATCAAATGTTAAAAAAAAAAACAAAAAAAAAAAAAAAGAAAAAAAAAAAACAAAAACAAAAAAAAAAAAAAAAAAAAAAAAAAAAAAAAAAAAAAAAAAAAAAAAAAAAAAAAAAAAAAAAAGAAAAAAAAAAAAAAAAAAAGAAAAAAAAAAAAGAAAAAAAAAAAAAAAAAAAAAGAAAAAAAAAAAAAAAAAAAAAAAAAAAAAAAAAAAAAAAAAAAAAAAAAAAAAAAAAAAAAAAAAAAAAAAAAAAAAAAAAAAAAAAAAAAAAAAAACCCTGCCTCTTGAGGTCAAAGGTTATCCGATACTTACTCTTCGCATGTTCCAGCTGGAAGGCATATTTCATGGTTCCTTTCAATAAAGCCACTAAAAATGGGGCTAGGTCAGCGGCTGAAACAAAAAAGTTTTCATTCGTCCGTCAGACGCATGTCCTCCCGAAAAATGTCTAAAATCTGCTCCTGTGCCTATTGAGCCTTTGATGCCTGTGACCATCGCAATTTCGGCACAGTGATGGCTTTTTGCCTACCATGAATGCTATAGCACCGACTATCACGAGCGCTAGGTCGAGGCGTTTTAGATTGTGGCCGGCATTCTGCAATTTCTCGCCTATACCTTAAGTTAAAGGATGTGAATGTTCGCCCCTTCTTTTAGCAGCCTCTTGACGCTTTGAGCCGTTGACACCGCTTTA